GAGCCTGATGCGGGACTCGATCCCGGGACTCCAGGATCATGACCTGAGCCGAAGGCAGTCGCTTAACCAACTGAGCCACCCAGGCGCCCCAATAACCAGTTAATCTTAAGATTCTGAGTATTTACTTGACCATCTCTCCTGATATTCCCCTATCATTAGCAGAATACAGAGATTTACTACAACAAATATTCAGGAAAAATGCTATTTATTTATAAATATTTATTCATAATTAGGCCCATTTTCACACTTCCTTGACCCTCAAATCATAGCTTTATATATCCTTTGTCCATCCATGTATATGCTGATAACTCTCAAGTTTATATCTTTAGTCCAAACTTCTTCCCTGATTTTGATATGCATATTCAATTGCCCATCATCTGGATGTCTCATGGCCCTACAAATTTAAAACAACCCAAACAAAACTCTTGATGTTCCCTCATAAATCTGTTTCTCTACTCTTTTCCATCATAGTAAATTGTACCAGTAATGGTGCAATTGCTCAGGCAGAAAATAATGGGCATTATCCTTTGATTTCTATCTCCATATTCTGTCCATGAGCTAATAGAGCTGTCTTCAAAATATACCTAGAATCCAACCTAGAACCTCCCTGCTTCCATTCTTCCTACCCTCTTTAGAGCCTGCACAAAGCCTTCCCCATTATACTTAGAATGGAACCCAAATTCCTTACCATGGTCCATAGGGTCCTACTCAGTGTAACTACTACCTGCTTCATCTCCAGCCACTCTTTTCCTTGCTTACTCCATTCCATCAACACGGGCCCTCTTGCTATTTTGCCAAGATTTTCGCCACCTTATCTGTTGTTCCCTCTAACCATGATTTGTGCATGGCTAATACCTTCCCATTGTTCAGTTCACTGGGAAATCACTTTCAAAGAAGAGCCCATTCCTAAAGAAGTATCCCTTTTACTCTGCTTTACTTTCTTCACATCACTTACTACCATTAGCAGAAACTATACGCTAATTGCTATATAAAGTATCCAACTAAAATGTAAACAAACTTCTAGATATTAACAAATCATGCATCATAAGGATGTCAGAATACAGATTTAGGTAAACAACAAACAGGTATTTGGTTAATGCTTCTCCATTCTACTTGTAAAAATATTTAAGTAAGTTGTGTATGAAATTCATTGGGGGTACTCTGTATATACTAGTATCAAAAAAGAAAACTTTAATATCTAGTTAGCTTTTAAAATACATATTTTATTTATTTATTTTTCTATTAACATATAATTTATTATTTGATTACAGTTCCATTTATTTAGAGACCACTGGCCTTCTATATCATATTTATATTAAGGTTCAAGATAATAAGATAATTTTTTTCAGAATGCAAAAAATAACCTATCAACATGAAGAAAATCCCTTTGACCCTGGCTTTTCTTTCTGACACCAATATTTATCATCTCAGGTCATATAACCAAAAACTTTTCTTTTACCCTTCTGCTTCTGGATAATCTTTTCAGCATTCATTTCATTTTCTCTGTATATGATAAGTAATCGATGTATTTTCTTTGTAGATTATAAATAGGATATACCTTCTTGTATCCCACAGTTTGACGATATTATCTAAAGAACCTGAAATCAGCTGCTGCTCGTGGGTAGGAGACCACTTTAATGATGTGACCCAGCCTGTATGTGAGGTTAGGGACAGCGACACCAAAGAACCATCTGAACAAAATAAAAAAGATAATAATTATTGAATTTTAGAAGAGAAGTAGGCAGAACCCAAAACAATGTTTGTAGAAAATTGTCTTTTTATACACATCTCTAGTGAGAGGAGAAACTGATGTTATTTACACATATTTCTCCTCCAGTGATTTACACAACTCACCTTTAGTTCGGGGATCCCACAGTCTGATATGCCTATCTGTGCTTCCAGATGCTAAACGTTTACAAAGTGGAGAATAGGAGATACAATTAAACACCTTATTTCCTGTCTGAAAAACAAACAGGAAAGAACATTTAATCATGGTGGGCTAGAAATAACCATCTTTAGATGGCTCAAAGTTAAACAGAGAATCACTGAATTTATGTCTTACCAAAGTTGACTTAAGACTGCCAGACTCTACATCCCACACCCTAATTGTGTGGTCCCAAGATGCACTGCAGATTTCTTCAGCATCTGACCATAGAACCGAAGAAATTGCTTCCTTGTGGCCAGAGAGGGTCACTATGGGAGTCTAGAAATGAAAGATACCCAAAAGGAAAAGCGAAAAGCATTTTCAGTTTAGAATAACTGAAACAGTAACAGTAGTTATTTACTTCTGAAGCCCATATGCCAGATGCTTTAGCTTTCATATCCTGCCTTATTTCTTCTTTACAACAATCCTCCAAAACAGATATGTATTTTTATTTTATAGATGAAGACAATGAAGCTGAGAAAGAGAACTTGCTCAAGGAAGCTGAGAAAGAGAACTTGCTCAAGGTCATACAGCTTAAACATGTCAGATTTAAGTTTGAACACAAATATTACTCCAAAGTTTGTAGTCTTTCCTCTATAGCCTGCTGCTTTCCCATTTGTTCTACTTTTTATTTTGAAAAGTATTAATATTAACCCTAACCTGGGGTGCCTGGGTGGCTCAGTCATTAGACGTCTGCCTTCGGCTCAGGTCATGATCCCAGAGTCCTGAGATCGAGCCCCGTGTCGGGCTCCCCGCTCAGCAGGAAGCCTGCTTCTCCCTCTCCCACTCCCCCTGCTTGTGTTCCCTCTCTCGCTGTGTCTCTCTCTGTCAAATAAAT